GGACAAGAGTGACAGGAGATGGGACACATCATTTGTCAAAGGGCGATTTGCAAGTACTTGGCATCAGGGAGTAAATAAGAAAAAGTTTTCTGCCTATATAAGTGTTCAAAACGTAGTTCAGAAACCATATGCAGATACTAATGAGCACATCACAGATGGAAGGCATAGTTCAAGGCTTTGTTTTGTAGACAATATTTCCTCCATGACAGAGAAATACTTGTATAGCCATCCACCCTCCTACAGGCAAAACAGAAAAAAAAGTGCCACTGGTTTCAGATTATTTAAATTAGATAAGCATTCAATGCAGCAGATGAGTCTTCTTCAGAATTTCCTAAGGAGGAAAGGATACTTTGTCTCAGAAAAAAAAAAAAAAAAAAAAAATGGCAGATAAATCCAGCAAGCAACAGAAACAGCAGGCGCGTTCATTAGCAGCCTTCAGACTTTTTCCACCAAGTCTTTGAAGGCGAGCAGGGAGTGGGCACTGTGGTATCTCACAGAATTTTTTTCAGCCTGTAGTTTTCTGATGTAGCAGGCTGTAAGAATTCAAAACACTAAATTCCCATGGCTCAGAAAAGTATATTTACTTCCTGTAAATAAACCCTTTATTTTTCACCCTGGCAGATTTTTCTTGAGATGAAAGCAGTCATTTTATCTAGTCCCTTTGGCCATTGGTGCATGCACACAGCGTCTGCATTAGGAAGGAGACTCAATAAGGAAAGCTTGTTCCATGCTGTCCCCAAGCAGTCATCACAGCGCTCACGGGGGCCGCAGGAGAATGAATGGATGGCACACAGAGGGCAGTGAGCACTGTCAGCAACCATTACACAGAAAAATAAAGCAACAAAGGAAAGGAAGCACATCCCCCGCCCCAGGCCCCGTGAGGGCAATAACAGCAGCAAGAAAAAACATGAGTCCCAACCACAAATTTTATGGCAACCTTAAGGCCATTTTCAAAATATACTTCTTATCCTCTGGGTGGGATTTTCTCAAGTAATGGAGTACGTGATGCCACTGAGATTTCCAAGCATGTCATCAATCCAGAGTTTCCATTCACAACTATGAAATTCACATTTTTGCATCAACTTGCCTGCTTCTGTGCTGCTTTCATCCACTTGTTTATTTGTTTATGGTCACTCAATGAATACTTACGGGAAAATGTACTATATGCCAGTCATTTTTCTAAGCCTGCAGGCACAGAGGTAAACAAAGCGGCCTGCATTCATAGAACTTCATTTCATGGGGAAGGACAGACCAAGAAACAACAGCAACAAAATGCAATGGAGAATAATAACTGTGATGAAAATAAAACAGTGCTGAGAACCTGGTTTAGATTAGAAGTCAAAGAAAGGTCTCATGTGGTGAGGTGGCGCTTGAACTGAAAAGAAAACACAGAGAAAGTAGACAAATGAGAATGTGGAGAAGATACTCAGGCAAGAGGAAGAGAGGATGAGCTTAGCAGAGGCAGGACCACAAGCAAGGTCAGTGCGGGTGCGTGCAAAGTGTGACACGTGCTACCATTAGAGAGAACGTGGGGCAGGTGATGGGGGCCTAGTAGGGAAGAAATGGGAATGTGAATTTTATTCCAAGGGAAGTCATTTGCAAGTTAAGTGGAAGAGGAGTGTGATCTGATTTACATTTATAAATATCATTTTCTTCTCAATGTTGAAGGATAGTAGGAATACAGAATGGTGGGGTTGGGATAGTCTAATGACCCATTTCCCTCCTTAAATGGAGAAGATAATGTCCGAATTTAATCTGTTTCCTAGAATTATCTAAGAAATAATGACATATCAAGATAACCATGCTTTAGCCACTAGTAAATGGCTGTGACTTCACTAAGCTTAGATAAGCTTAAATGTGATAGGGTATATGGTATCATAAAAGGAGTAAGATTAATTTTTTATCAAGCAAAGATGAATATAATTTATCTACACTCTGCTACTAAATAATAATTGCAGTTGGTCCTAACCCTTAGAGAAGCTGTGGGGAACAAGTAATGCATTTTTGCACCAAGTTAGCTGAGCTGGAGAGAGTGTTCCAGAGAACAGACTACAGACACACAACCCAGAAAGGAATGCAGGTTATACAACCAGTTGTTCTTCAGAGCACTCGCAAGGACACACAAGAATGGGGAGCAGGGTAGGCACCAGGAGCATCATCTTTGCATTTAGAAAACAACTTTTGAGCCGGGCGCGGTGGCTCAAGCCTGTAATCCCAGCACTTTAGGAGGCCGAGGCGGGTGGATCACGAGGTCAAGAGATCGAGACCATCCTGGTCAGCAAGGTGAAACCTCGTCTCTACTAAAAATACAAAAATTAGCTGGGCATGATGGTGCATGCCTGTAGTCCCAGCTACTCGGGAGGCTGAGGCCGGAGAATCGCTTGAACCCAGGAGGCGGAGGTTGCGGTGAGCCGAGATCGCGCCATTGCACTCCAGCCTGGGCAGCAACAGCAAAAACTCCGTCTCAAAAAAAAAAAAAAAAAAAAAAAAAAAAAAAAAAACTTTTGGCTGTTTTATTTATGTAGGAATCACCTCTTCCGGAATTAAGGGCATAGCAGTGGAGAGCACCTGGTCAAGGGCTCCTTGCCCTCAGCACTCGACGAGGAGGTAGTCGGGTTCCAAGTTCCATAGTCATAGATGTCTGACAATATCTAATTATCTCACTATGTCTTTTTCCCCAACTTTCAATTTCTACTGAAAATCCAAAGACCATTAATTTGCATTTATTATGCTTAGAATGACAGCATCTAAGATGGTGAGCTAGAAATAACTCATCAGGAGGCCAGATGCAGTGGCTATGCCTGTAATCCCAGCACTTTGGGAGGCGAGGTGGGTGGATCACTTGAGCCCGGGAGTTTGAGACCAACTTGGGCAACATAATGAGACCTTGTTCTACCAAAAAAAAAAAAAAAAAATCAAAAAATTAGCTGGTCATGGTGGCACATGCCTGTAGCCCCAGCTACTCTGGAGAATGAAACGGGGGGATTGCTTGAGCCCAAAAGGCCGAGGCTGCAGTCAATTGTGATCATGCCATTCTTCTCCAGCCTGGGCAGCAGAGCAAGACTTTGTCTCAAAAAAACTAAAATAAAATAAAGAAGGAAGGAAGGAAGGAAGGAAGGAAGGAAGGAAGGAAGGAAGGAAGGAGGGAGGGATGCAGGGAGGGAGGGAGGGAAGAAAGACTCACCACATATGAGCTATGTGTCCAGAAAACATTAACAGCTGCCTTCTCTCAGAAATAGCTACCCTAAAGTCCGTTGATACTCTAGGCATAGGACAAAACTGGAGAATATGAGAAACAGTTTTGTATGAATAAGCACAGGGTACCACATATGTATAATGAAACATCTTTAGAGAGTTTGGGCAATTCATCTTTCTTTCTTTCTCCAACCCGTAGCACTTAGAAACCACTAGATGGCACAATTTATTTTTTCTTTTCTGTTTTTATTTTTATTTTTTTCTTTAGGAAACAAGTCCTCACAGGAAACTGGCAGTAAAAATAACCTTATTCTCTGTGCTGCTTTAGGAAAGTTAATATTCTTTATATTTTCTGAAGAAGCATAAGCAAGATCAATTCATTTTCCAAATATGACGAATGGCTGAATATGTGAGAGTGCATCTGCATTTTTTTTTTTTAATTTTAAGACTTTATTCTATGGAAATAAAATATATACCAACGAAGACTTAATTACAAGGAATGTTCCTGGCTACATTAAAAAATATAGTAAGGAACCGGTCACGGTGACTCATGCCTGTAATCCCAGTACTTCTGGAGGCTGAGGTGAGAGGATCGCTTGAACCTAGGTGTTGGAGACCAGCGTGGGCAACATGGTGAAACCCCAGTGCATCTGCATTTCTACTAACCACAAGGAAGTTTGAGGAATTAGTATTCCTGCCAGTGATTTCACACGTGATTCTGCGGCCCTCTTTTTCCCAGTGATCTTTGTCTCCCCTTTTCCTCCCTTCACTTTAATTAATGTTGGGGCACCCTCTGCATCCTATACAGCCAACAAGCTGCCAAGATCCATCTGCTCTTCCAACAAATCAGCTCTGAGCTTTATCCCTCCCTCTTCATCCTTTCTGCTAAAATCCTAACACAGAGCTAAAACTCTCACTCTTAGTTTTTCCCAATTACCATTCTCTTCCTTCATTCTCTCCTGTACATGGAGATGCAATCAATATTCTCAAAATACTGCTATGTCTTCATATTACTAAAGACCTTATATTCATCTTCTAATATCATTTGAAAAAAGTCCAAGCTCTCATCTTGACATTAAATTCTTTCTACCATTTTTTGCCACACTCACTGTGTCTTCTCCTACTACCTCTCCGACGTAAACACACCTCTCCAATCAACCCACATCATACTTTTGCAAAACATGATTCTAATCATTACAGTGGATTTGGGGTTGGTTGGCTGGCTGGTTTGTTCGTTAGTTGGTTAGTAAAGTGTTAGTATAGTATCTTGATTAAGAGTGAGGATTCCATATCCAGATTCCCAGAGTTGATATTTTACTTCTGCCATATATTAGATTTATAACTTAAGATAAGTTACATCTTAACGCTTCAGTGTCTTCATTTATGGAACGGAGACAATGCTGGTACCTCACTTACAGAGTTATTATGAGGATTAAAGGAGGTAGTAGCTCAAACTCTTTCAAATGCCTGGTCCCTGTTAAATGCTCATTGTATGTCGTCTTACCCTACCTTTTTTTCCCAGAGTTGTATCAAAAAACTCACAAAGCTGCGTAAACGTAAATTGACTCTGCCATTCAGACTTCTAGGTTCTCTTCCAATCTACACAGTGAAATTATGTGCTAAATTTCAAAACAATGAGAACACGTTTCACTTTGGCCTGTGCCAAATACATTGTTCCAGGTACACAGAAGTATTTTAACAAGCTTTAGTAAATCTCACACGTGTTTAATTCTAAAACAAATTATTGCTGAGCAAGCTTTCTCTGGATTAGAGTATGCTGAGCCAGTGTTTTATTTCTATTGTAGGAGAAGAAATTTTTGGCAGTGGCTCATGGAGTTTCCCTTTACCAACCTGGAAATGGCATTCATTTTATTGGCTTTTGTTATCTTTTCCTTATTTACACTGGCTTCCATCTACACTACTCCGGATGACAGTAATGAAGGTAAAAGAAGAAAAAAAAAGAAAGCTCTTTATGGCTACTGTGTACTTTTCCCTCCCTATCATCTTGCTGTGTGTTCAAATTTGGTGTGGTTTCTATCCTGTGTGTGAGGATAACTTCGTTTTTTGTCCTGTGGCTTGTGTGTGCGTAATTAAACAAACGAAGAAAAAAGATTAGAATTTTGTAATGAGCTCTTGATAAAGCCCAAACATTTTAAAATATATATGCAGAAGTATTTTAAAAACCCAATATCACATTTTTATTCATTGCCAGTAATAACAATTGTTAATAAGAGAAATCTAAAATTTAAATGATTCTGCTGAGTAGTTCTGAACTCACCACATTTCAGATAAAATTGATGACAATGGGGGAAATGATATATTTGGGGACCAACAATTTATATTTATTTGTATGTATGTGTGTGTAAATATATGATAAGGAAATTACATATATTCATAAAGAATAAGATAAAATCATAAAAAGTAAATTTTATTTGTGTTTCTTAGCTTATCCCCAACCCCATCATTCTTGACTATAAAATAAGCGCTGTCTATGAATTAAAAGTCTATTCTCTGTCCTACAGACTTACAGCACTGTCATAACTAGGAAACAAAAAGCCGCAGTAAATGGACATTCCAGTTCATGCTGACTCGCAAATTGGGAAACATAATTGGAACCCATAAAACCTTTTTCCTGCTCACAATTATTTCCACTGTGTTAGTTTAAAATGGGTTTGGCTATAAGAAAGAGTATAACCAAAATAGCAGTTACTATAACTACATAATGATGTATTTCTCTCACCAGGACAGGCAGCCTGGAGGTAGTGAGTTCAAGGTTGACCTGGCACTTCATAACATCTTGGATCCAGGTTACTTCTACCTTGGTTCTTTTCATCTTCAACCTAAATTTTTGTTTATTTGTTTTTTGAGACAGAGCCTTGCTCTGTCGCCCAGGCTGGAGTGCAGTGGTGCGATCTAGGCTCACTGAAACCTCTGTCTCTCAGGTTCAAGCAATTCTCTGCCTCAGCCTCCCAAGTAGCGGGGATTACAGGCACCTGCCCCATGCCTGGCTAATTTTTGTATTTTTAGTAGAGACGAGGTTCCGCCATGTTGGCCAGGCTTGTCTTGAACTCCTGACCTCGTGATCCACCCGTCCCAGCCTCCCAAAGTGGTGGGATTACAGACATAAGCCACTGCGCTGACCTCTTCAACCTAAATTTTAAGAATCCACTCAACCTGGAAAAAAAAATGGTTGTTTCATTTTGGTGACTTAAAAATTGACAAAAAATGTAATTATTTACCAGTAGCGGAAATTAGAATGAAGCAGGGATGACTTTTCCAGTTTAGTACACTGTTTGCTGTCTATCTTATTTGCCTGTAAGCATAAAGCTAATGGAAATGTGTATTAGGAGCTATATTAGTTCATTCTTGCACTGCTCTAAAGAAATACCTGATACTGGGTAATGTATAAAGAAAATAGTTTTAATTTGCTTATAGTTCTGCAGGCTGTATAGGAAGCATAGTGGCTTCTGCTTCTGTGGAAGCCTCAGAAAACCTCCAAACATGGTGGAAGGCAAAGGGGTAGTGAGTCATCACGTGGCCAAAGCAAGAGGAAGAGAGAAGGGGGAGGGGAGGTGCTATACACTTTTAAACAACCAGATCTCATGAGAAGTCACTGTCATGACGATAGCACCAAGAAACATGGTGTTAAATCATGAGACGCTGCCCCCACGACACAATCACCTCTCACAAGGCCCCACCTTCAACACTGGGGATTTCATTTCAACATGAGATCCGGGAGGGGGCACAGATCCAAACCGTATCAGGGGCCTTCCATGAAAAAGGCAGAACACGAAGCATTTCAGATGCATTATTGTGTTTAATCTTAAAACAATCCCATGAGATGACTAATAATAACTTCACTATTTCACAAGTAAGAATAATGGAGTTTTCAACTTTACCATGGATCACTCAGCTAATAAGACAGAGAGCCAGAAGTTGATCTCCAGCTTATAGGACTCCAGAACCCGAAGTGTGCCTAACCAGCACACTTTTGCTTGAGATAACCTTGAAAAAGATACTTGGCTTAAAAAAAAAAGCATATATAATTCTCTTTCTTTCTTTGAAGGGCTTAAATTGACTAAAAACAATATAACAAGATATAACTTACTTTCTAGTAAGTAGATAAGGATATCCAGGCCAAAAGAAAAATTAAAGTAGGAAAAAAATGGGTGAACTTGATATGGAGAAGGAGGCTGGCATGCCATTTCAGTACAGAGGACAAATTTGTGATTAGTCACTGCTGCATTCATGTCCTGGCTCTGCCATTAGATAATTCTGCCTTTGGGAATATCATACAAATTCTCAAAGCCTCTGTGTTGTCTGCTCTTATGCTGCTAATAAGGACATATCCAAGACTGGGTAATTTATAAAGGAAAGAGATTTAATTGACTCACAGTTCAGCCTGGCTGGGGAAGCCTCAGGAAACTTAGAATTGTGGTGGAAGGGGAAGCAAACATGTCCTGCTTCACTTGGTGGCTGGAAGAAGAAGAATGGGTGAAGTTGGGGGAAGGCCCCTTATAAAACCATCAGATCTCGTGAGAGCTAACTTACTATCAGGAGAACAGAATGGAGGTAACTGCCCCCATGATTCAATTACCTACACCTTGTCCCTCCCTCAACATGTGGGGATTAGGGCAATGCAATTCAAGATGAGATTTGGGGGACACAGCCAAACCATGTCAGCCTCCATTCCGTCATCTGTGCATTGGGATAATAATAGTACCTTCCCTACAGAGTTGAAGTGAAAATTCAATAAAATAAAGGATGCAAAATGCAGAAGGGTGACTATTACTGGAGACTTCTTGGGAGTCTTCGTGATTAGGAATTTAGATAGTGCCATAAGGGTCATCATCATGAAAAATATTTATTACAAAACCAATACAATTTGTATTTACTTAATTCACACACTAGGTCAATGTCTTTGTTTTAAATGTCTAGTAATACAATCCATTTCACACAAATCAATTACAAGGTGACATCACATACATCACAAAAGATAAAAATCTTATGGAAGGTAAAGTTAGGGCCGCTGAAATCCCTCAGGCAAAGCCACTGACAAATGGGTGTTTAGTAGAATTAGACTACCTATCCAATAAAGAAGAGATGGGTCCATAAGTACCCCAAAATAGTGTGAAGTGAATGCCAAAGAAGTGAAAGACATCTCAGAAAATTGATGATGCCCTGAATACTTTTTGCTAATAGCATCCTCTATAGAATTGTGCTATGAAAATCACAAGTAACAAGAAGAGTATTGTATGGAGTTAGGATGCCAATGTGTCAGAAATGTGATGCTCTCCAACCCACCTAAATCAACATCTCATCCAGTCTTTGTCTAAAATTAACTTATAGTTGCAATTACAAACTGCATTTTTATTAAATGAATAACATAATTTTATTTTCATTATTTTTAGTTTCAAGTTTCAATATAAAATTTCATTCAAAGTTTTTTTTTAATTTTCTATTAAATTTTGCCCTGGCTCAAGTAAATTCACTTTAAATGATCTACTCCAGTGCCATTTATTCTCCAATTAAAAAGAAATTTCCTGTTACAGAATTATAGCCTCAGAAGTGTTAGTCAACATCAGTTATCATCCAAGGATGTAGCTGGAGGCATGCTCTTAAGTCTCTGCACGTGCAGGAAAAGGGCCAGACACTTGGTTCTTTTCTTTCTTTAAAGCCACCTCAGAGGAGAAAACCTGAAAACACTGAACTTTATCTGAATTCTGTGCTTCTAGAAAGCAGCTATAGTCAAGAAATTCCTCCAACTTTTTATTTTCTGAAATCTCCATACTCTTGTTTTCCAGGAAATGGCTTAAGGAGGAGAACTACCCTCCCTCTTATGACATAGATAAGACCCACTGTCCACTCTCTCCTGACATCCCTAAGACCCATGAAGACTCCCTTGTTTACTTGAGACTTGGACAAATACAGACCTTTCCTTTTTTGTCTGAAGCTGCAGATGAGAACAGACACAGACCTTTCAACTTCTTGTTCTTTGTCTCACCAATGATTTAGCTGAGATTTGAACTGTTTGTACTTCGGAAACAAGCCAGATAGAGCTAAACATTAGCCTTACAGCTATTTGACTGAGACTTCTTCTGATTGCAAAACAATTCCAACTGTAAATCATCTCAACTATAGGTTTTCTACTCCTCTCTATAAAAGTCGAAAGTAAAACTACCCTGCCAAACTAGTGTGATCTCTGGATTTGAGGTGTTCTCCCTATAATAATAGCTTGAATAAAATCAGTCCGCTTATTTGTGTGCACCTGCGTGTGTGGGTGTGTGTGTGTGTGTGTGTGTTTGGCAAAACACAATCTGCTCCCTGTATATGATAATCTGGTGTGGATATGATTAAAAAAAAAATTGTAGTTGCTTAGTAGGATTACAACTATCTCTGGCACAGAGAAAAGAGACAATGGCTCACTAGAAAAGAATCACATTAGGGGCTCTAGCTCAGGGATGTGGGAACTTTCTCAGTAAAACCCACTTCCAGATCTGCTCCCTCACCTACGACACATTTACCCATGTGTGTGCAGCTGAAATGAACGTTTCATAAACTCAGCCTCCCTACAGGTCATGTACTCTAATACTTTGTATTCTGTTTTGTTCTACTCTGCAAGGCTGGTGGCAACTCACAAAACTACATGTCAATCTCCCAAGCAAACACCTTCACTAATTGGCCATTGCCTGCAGAATAAAATGAAAATTTCCAAGGCTCTTGAGCATTTTTATTCTTCCATTAGAAAACGTCCACCTGTCTACCAATAATCCCCTCCTCCTCCTCTACCTGAATCTTATTTATTCTTCAAATAAGTCGTTTTCTTTCTTCTTTAATTAGTCTAACCCAAAATGAATCCCCTCTGTGTGGGACTTTTATAGTGCATTTAATAGATCACTAATTTGGCGCTCATCTTCATCACCCTGTACTATTGGTTATTGT